GGGAGGGGAAGGGGGAGAGAGAAACAATTCTAGGAGTTGTCTTAAATTAAAATGAGGAACTTGCTAGTAAACGGGTCAGCAATAGCACAAAAGATAATATATTCTGGTCCAGGCAACCTCAAGCAGATTAGATTAAGAGTCTCTTAGCTGGTTCCACCTCTTGTCTGTCACCCACCCTTCCTTATCAAGCAAGAATTAGCCTTTAAGCTGGGGGAGATGGCTCAAGCCTGTAATCACAGCACTTTGAGAGGCCAAAGTGAGGGGACTGCCTTGGTGAGGCATCATCTCTACAAAAAATTTTTTAAAATTAGCTGGGCATGGTAGCACGTGCCTGTAGTTCCGGCTACTTGGAAGGCTGATGCAGAAGGATCACCTGAGCCCAGCAGGTCGACACTGGGGAGGCCAGAGCGTACCACTGCACTCCAGTCTGGGCAACAGGGTGAGACCCCAACTCAAAAAAAAAAAAAAAGAATTAGACTTTTAAGTGTTACCGCCTTGCTCAAGTCTTTAATAATGGTCCACCAACTACTAGGCTCAGATCTTGGACCTGAGATCAGAGTTATGGCAAGGAATCCACACTAGATTGTATCAAACACCACAGAGTGTAAAATATTTCAAACATACACATGACAACTACATATTTTTGAAAGCTATACAGATGTGTCACTCAATAAAATACAAATTCAATTAAAGTGTCATGGCCGGGCGCTGTGACTCACATCTGTAATCCCAACACTCTGGGAGGTCAAGGCCAGAGGATTGCTTGAGCCCAGAAATTTGAGAACAGCCTGGGCAACATAGGGAAACCTCATCTCTTAAAAAAAAAAAATTGCTGGGCATTGTGGCACACCCCTGTAGTCCCAACTACTTGGGATTCTGAGGTGGAAGGATCGCCCAAACCTGGGAAATCGAAGCTGCCATGAGACATGATCGTTGTGATCATGCCACTGCACTCCAGCCTGGGCGACAGAGTGAGACCCTGAATCAGAAAAATAAAAAATTAAGTGCCAGGCATGGGGGGAAGTGGGTGATGCCTGTAAAGAATCTCTTGAGCTCAGGAGGAGGTTAAGGTTGTGGTGAGCTGTTATCATGGACACTGCACTCTAGCCTGGATGACAGAGTAAGGAGACCTCAACTCAAAAAATAAAATAAAAATAAAGTGTCATATAATTTTAGGAACATTCCATTACTATACATTTCCCAATCAAGGGTTACTAACTTTTTTTTTTTTTTTTTTGAGTTTGAGTCTCACTCTGTTGCTGAGGCTGGAATGCAGTGGAACGTTCATGGCCACCGCAGCCTCAAGCTGCTGGGCTCAGGGGATCCTTCCACCTCAGCCTTCCAAGTAGCCGGAACTACAGGCATGTGCCACCATTCCTGGCTGATTTTTTTTTTTTTTTTGAGTTGGAGTCTCACTCTGTTGCCCAGACTGCAGTGCAGTGGCCATTCCCGGCCACCTCAGCCTTGACCTGCTGGGCTCCGGCGATCCTTCCGCCTCAGCCTTCCAAGTAGCCGGAATTACAGGCATGCGCTACCACGCCCGGCTGATTTTTTGATTTATTGTAGAGATGAGGTCTCGCTGCCCAGGCGGGTCTCGAACCTGCGGGCTCGGGCAATCCACTCACCTCAGCCTCCCAAAGGCGCAGGATTACAGGCTGAGCCACCGAGCCCGGCTTGTAGTGATGAAGTTTTGCTATGTTGCCCATGTGCTCAGGCAATCTTTTCACCTCTGACTCCCAAAGTGCTGGGATTATAAGCATGAGTCACCACACCCAGCTCAAAATTTTTATCTCTTCTCAAAGTCTTTCCTTTTTTTTGAATGCCAAGTTACCATCTGCTCGGCTGGGCGCAGTGGCTCAAGTCTATAATCCCAGCACTTTGAAGGTGGAAGCAACGAGGATTGCCTGACTCCAAGGGTTCAAGACCAGCCTGGGCAACTTGGCGAGACCTCATCTCTACAATAAATCCAAAAACTAGCCAAGCATGATAGCACACGCCTGTGGTTCCAGTTACTTGGAAGGCTGAGGTGGAAGGATCACCTGAGTCCAGCAGGTAGAGGCTGTGGTGGCTGTGAGCATGCCACTGCACTTCAGCCTGAGCGACAGAGACTCTGACTCAAAAACATAAAAATAAATAAATAAATAAAATTTGGTTTTCGGGCCGGGTATGGGGGCCCACACCTGTAATCCCAACATTTTGGGAAGTCCAGGTGAGAGGATTGCCTGAGCTGTCGGGATCGAGACCAGTCTGGGCAACTTGGTGAGACCTCATCTCTACAATAAATCAAAAAATTAGCCAGGCATGGTGGCACGTGCCTGTAGTTCCAGTTACTTGGAAGGTTGAACCTGAAGGATCGCCTGAGTCCAGCAGGTTGAGGTTGTGGTGACCAGGAGCATGCCAGTGCCCTCCAGCCTGGGCGATAGAGTGAGACTCCAAATCCAACTCAAAAAAAAAAAAAAAATGTTTTTCAAATCTTGAAAAGTCAGTTTCTAAATAGCTACTAATGCCATTACATCAACAGCTGACTACTAACTACCAAGTATACCAAACCCTATCATGTAAGAATCTCACAAAATCTTTTGACTATAAGAGAATTCCTAAATTAATTAAAGAGAGAAACAAAGAGACAGAGAAGAAGAAAATGAAAAAATGGGGAATCATTAATAAACAAGATGGGCCTGGCATGGTGGCTCAAGCCTGTAATTCCAGCACTTTGGGAGGCTGAGGTGAGAGGATTGCCTGAGTCCACGGATTCAAGACCAGCCTGGGCAACTTGGTGAGACCTCATCTCTATAATAAATCAAAAAATTAGCTGGGTGTAGTGGCGCATGCCTATGGTTCCAGCTACTTAGAAGGCTGAGGTGGAAGGATCAACTGCGCCCAGCAAGTCGAGTCTGTGGTGGCCATGAGTGTATCACTGCACTCCAGCCTGGGTGACACAGTAAGACTACAACTAAAAATAAATAAATAAACAAGATGGTGCAAAATACTTGCATTGCCTTGTACTTAAAGCTCTCTATTATCTGACACCACCATTGCAAACAGCCAACCCTATCTCCTACTACCACCCAACAGAAATCCTCTGCACCTGAACAGTTAATCTCCTTACCTAAACACATAAAAGGTTCCCACATAACCATCAAGCCTACTGCTTGGTTTCCTGTAGCCTGGAATCCCCTTCCCTTCTCTCTACTTATTCCAACCTTCTCCATAAAGGCATGCCTTCACATCTCTTTCCTCTGTCTGCCTATAGATTTGTAATCTACAGAAGTCATTTGACAGCATCATAAGATTAATTGTGAATGTGTTGTTCTAATGATAAAATAAGATAAGCAATTATAAGAGCACTTTAGAAGTTTCGAGGTCCCACAATATCAAAATAAAAAATATTGATATAAAAAAAGTAATGAATAAAATACTTCCATACCTAGGGGGAAAAAAAGGTGTGTCGAGGTTTTAATTTCTGAATAGCTTTAGGTAAAAATCATTAATAAAACAGCTGACAACTATCTCAAACCAAATGACAACCTTTAACAATGTCCTTTCTAGAAAACACTTTTTCAGAAAACCCAGACCCTCAGTAATGGAATCTTTCCTTTAACAGCAATTTATTTCTGAGTTTTTAAAGTTGTATGAAGTAATTTGGCTCCACTGTATATAACATGGAAAAATACCCAAATACATAAAACTTAAAGAGCCAAATTAGACTGTTGGAAATAATTTAAATTATTTGAAAATACATTAACATTTTCTGCTATACATTTCTGTTGTTTTTCTCCAAATCAGAATGCAATTCACTCTTAAAAGACCTTCTCCTTTGTCATCATTGGTGGTGGAACACACCTGTGTGAGATGCAGACAACTTAATGGACATTGTTAGCAGCACTTCAAGTTGATGGGCTTTAAAAGCATTTCAAGAGTTTAATCATTGCAACTGCTAAAAAGCAATCAACAATTCCATGCCAAGACAGAATCAGAGTATTTTGTTTCTAGGTACATCTTTCCCCTTAAGACAATGTTTAAAGCCCTGAGAAATGTCAGGATAGTGTAGTGAAAAACAAACAAACAAAAACGTTAGAATGAGTGACCTTAGCTATACTGGTAATTGCTAACATTTATTTAACCCCTCCTTCATATAAGCCAAGCATTACCCCCAATCCTTTACATGAATTACTTCGTCTAACCCACGTACCAACCTATTAAGTAGAAACTATTACTATCATCCTCATCTCACAGTTCCAACACTGAGCCTTTGCAAGTTACCAAGTTCAAGGTCACAAGCAACTGTAAAGCTGGGAGTCAAGCCCAGGTGAACCTGCCACCAGGAAGTATAAGTCCTTGCGCTATCTACTACTTTATCCATCTGGTCTTATGACTTTTACAAGTCATACACCCACACTTGGCCTCGGTTTGTTTATCTGTAAAACGCGATGAATGCTACAGTTCCAGCTGTGCCCTCGTTAATTTCGACCTCACAACTTACCTGAGCGTCAATAAGCCAGAGTTAAACTAGGAAGGCATTTACAACGCACCTACTAGGCGTCCGGCCTTGTGCTGCGCGAGCGTCCAAGTCAACTCCCCCCC